AAATACTTGTATTCTTTACTTTCCGCATTTACTATTTCAGCAATAGTAGGTTAAGGAACACTTAGAAGAACCAGATCCTTCCATAATCAATTTAAGCAAAAAATTGGACACACACAAAGCACCCCACTTGTGTGGTATTGAAGTATTAAACATCAATCTCTAAGAAATAAGAAAGGAAACAAGGAACAGATTCCAGTGAGTTTAAAGCTGTTGGAAAAGTATGACTTACCTCAACTCATTTTTTCGTACCATGCATGGTTTGCTCTTGTTTATGGAAAATAATTCTCATTATATATATCCTGAATCCTACTATTCAAGAACTAGTTACCTTTGAATTTGATCTTCCATTTGGTCGAATCCGAGCAATCTTTTTCCATCCAGAGGCTCAAGAATATTATGCTCTCTGGATATTAATTAGTAAAATATCGCCTTTTGTGGAATTCAAGATACTTAGATTTAGCATATTATTGTCAGATAATTTGAATGATTCAGAAACGAAAACAGGCTGGGAAAAGCTTTGTGATGTCCCATATTTAGTACCTAGATTATGGGGACCTCCTACAGGGACAAAGGATGCTATATGGATGACCGACAGATACTACTGTGACGACTATTGTGCTACTTGTTATGCTGCTTGTGAAGCATCTATAACAATATTTGACGTTGAAAAAGAAAATTTTCATCTCATATCTCATCCGGGAGAAGAATGTAATAACCAGCTTTCGGCAAGTATACATGTTCATATGCACCTTTTTGAGACGCAGTGGCGGATCCAGTATTTTAAAGTTATGGGTGCTCGCCGATAAAAACTTCAAAAGAAGAGGAAAAATGAATTTACTTGTGGGTGCTCGCTCAATATTTATCTAAATATTTGTACAGTTGCCTATATAAATTTATTAATATGGTCAAAGTTATTGGGTGCTTAAGCACCCACAACTCCCTATGTGCATCCGCCACTGTTGAGACGTCATCTGCAAGTTTGCATTTACCGGCATATGTGGCAATAACAATATATATATATATATATATATATATATATATATATATATATATGGGATCTGGAAAATAATAATTACAAGTGAAGTATGAGGAGGACAGACGATGTGAAGTTTGATTTCTCGAACTATGCGCTTTGCCATTGGAATCCAATGGTAAGACCCATTATATATATATATATATATATATATATATATATATATATATATATATATATATATATATGGAGAGTTGATCGTTAGTGATATAAATAGCGGAGTTTTGGCCTACAATCTCCAATTGCAAACCACCAGAATGATACATGGAAATCATCATCTTAGTTTTCCTTAATTCACAGCAAAACTGTTGTTTCGCTGCTGGGAAATTACTCCAAATTCAAAACTTATATATATGTTTGCTAAGCTGGAAATTATGTGCTCCAGAGGGTTTAGATTTATGAGGGATGAAGTATGCATTTAACTTTGTACAGAAACTATCTAGCCCTTAATTGGTATACATATTTTTTTCCAGATTCAATATTTTACTTTACCATATTTGCTTACACCTTGTTAGATTGTTTATATATAGTACTCTTAACTGAATATCTTTTGTTATATTTTTAGCAACATATGTGATATCTATAAATTTTATGGGGTTTGGTAATATGAAGTTTAGCTTGATGTTGTTTCTCCTTTTTTAGGTCCAAAATAATTAAGTACTATATGAATGTTGTCTTTCTAAAAAAGCCTAATTACAATTACCCCATCATATTTGTAAAGTATGAATTTACATGTCAAAGTCGTGAAATGTGAAAACAATATATTTTAAGAAAAAAGGGATGACGATCACTAATCTGCAACTCCCAATAAATTTTTTTATACTGCTTAACGTATCGTTCAATAATGTAAATCACGAAGCAACAAGGTAATTGGCTAATAGAAATTTTGCTAATAATTTAATTAACGTATCTTCCAGAAGTTGCATTTTCATATTATTATTGGATTGGACGAGAATGGTAAAATATTACTTAAATTATTATTTGTGTTGGAAAGTACAAGATGTCATTTCGCTGGGAAGCAGATAGCTCCCTTGGCAGGCGGCGCTGGAAAAGGAAAAGATGCAGAAAAACCTGTCAATATTGATAAAGTGGCCCGTACAGTTTAGATAAATTATAAATTGTCCCCTATATTTTCCTTTCTCTTTAACCTATTATAAAATTTATCATTATCTTTGAAGATTTCAATTAACCGATGTTAGTACTAACAAATTAATGAGATTCGCTTTCAGTTTTAGATGTATTATTCATAGCCATTTGGAAACAATCAATATATTCGTACATTATTAATGTTTGCGCTTAATTTTATATATACATATATGTATTACTCTTATTATCTTTTTTGTAATGACTACTTGACAACTTTACATCCTAGGAAATTAAACTTTGTTTTAGCATCTAGTATGCAATAGAAATTATCCTTTGAACAAAAAAAAATACATATACGGATTTAGGCTCCATTTGGGGAAAGCACTCTCTACCAAGAATTTTTCCATATGCAGAGCAATCTCATCCACTGCACCACACCCTTTGGTGGTAATTTTGGTGCATTCTCTTTGTTGAGTTACATAGATCTTTTTTTTAATTGACTAATCCGATTAATTTGATATTTTCATATTAGCACTCCTATTAAATTTGTCTTCTTATTAAAGTTCAACGCTTAAGAAGTTAATGGAGGTCAATTTAATTTGAAAAGGACAACGATAAAAAAGGTTCACGTAATATCAAATATAATATCTGTATAACCTATTTAACTATAAAGGCACACGAATCAAAGATGCAATTCGTACTAATAATTAGAGTAAAAATATGGAAAATTTCATATTAAAACAACTGGGCTGCCTACTTTTCAACTTTATAGCCCATATTTCAATTTACAATTGAGTAGCCTAAAAATAACAGGCCCATATCCGAAAAAAGGGGTGTTATTTTCGTTTTTGGGGATTCGGAAGCGGGATTTTGTATCTTTCAGCAGGATTTTCTCTCATTCTTTCCATTCTTCTTCACCAAATCTACAAAAACGCGATCTTGCAGTCAATGCAACTCCAAAAACCCTAGAAATTGTTCTTCATCGCGAATTAACAACGAATCTAACACGAAAAGTGAAATTACTGCAATCAGCGCAATTTTCATTTTTGCTGCAATTTTGATTGCAACTTTTGTTCGATGGAGCTTTTTCCAGTTTACGTTCTTCATAGCGGTGAATGGGAAGAAAATAGGTTTATTAATTTCGTCAGCGATTATGTAATAATCGAGTCGACATTCAGCTACAACAATTTAATTTCAGCTATTTCGGAACAGATTAGAATCGATTGTGAGTTAAACACATTGGAGATTAACTTTCTCCCAAAGGATGGTTTGCCACCAATCCTGATTTACAACGATACAGGTGTTAAGGTGTATATCGAATTAAAGAAGAAAAACTTGAATTTCACTAAATACCCGTTGTATGTGGCGGTGAAAGAGATTTATGATAATCGTTTGGTTGGTACAAGTTCCAGTTGTTTGGTTGGTACAAGTTCCAGTTGTTTGGTTGCTACAAGTTCCAATTGTATAGATGTATCTACAATTGATAGCACTGAGATTATCCCTAATATCGAATTTATTGAAAACACGAAATTTAGTGAAAACACAGGTATGAAAGATGATATGTTGAACGAATTTATTGAGGAAGATCAAGTTTATAAGGATAAAGAGACAGTTGTCAGTGTGATGAAGAACTTGGATGTACGCGAGAGGTTCCAATTCAAGGTGAAGAGATCAAGCGCAACAAGGTATGACAATAGTTGTATATTCTGTTATATATATGGATAAATATGTATAAAGTAGTATATATTTGTATATAGGTATTAAAATTAATATATATCTAGTTATATTTTTGTATACAAGTGTATTTAGAAGTTGAATGATCTTTAATCCTAGGTATCACCTTATGTGTGTGGATGACAATTGTGCTTGGAGTTTCAAATCTTCTGTCGTTTACAAGGCAAACATATTCAAGGTGAGAAGTTACAATAATAACCACATATGCGGCTATGGTGAAAGATACTTAACACAACGTCAAGCTACTTCGGGTGTAATTGCTAGTATAGTCAAGGACAAGTATGTTAATCCAAAAAAAGTTTACACCGCAAATGATATAATAGAGGACATACAAAAGCAACACGGGATTGAAGTGAGCTACATGAAAGCATGGAGAGCTAAAGAGATAGCAATGGCAATGATAAGAGGGAATCCGAGCGATTCATATAAGGAGTTGCCGAGGTATTTGTATATGTTGGAGCATACAAATCCAGGAACGGTTACAAAGTTGCACAAATCAGAAGATGGATGCTTTCTTTATGCATATGTTTCGCTATATGCATCTATCAAGGGTTGGGAGCATTGCAGACCGATAATGGTTGTTGACGGAAGTTTCCTTAAAGCAGCATATAAGGGTACCATATTGACTGCTTGCACACAGGATGGAGCTGGTGAGTTGACTGCATCTACCTTGTTTCTGCAGTTTGTATAATGTTGTAGTTTCATGTATAAAAGTGTATAGGATTTCACAGCTGGTGTTTTTATAAAAATTGCAGTTTGTATAAAGTTGTATAATCGTGTATAACTGTGTATAAGATTTGTATAATTGTCTGAATCCTAATATCTATTTTGTATAAACAGGAAAAATCCTTCCACTTGCATATGCAATTGTAGATTCAGAGAATAACAAATCTTGGGAGTGGTTCTTCGTCCAGATAAAGGGTACTTTTGGTGTTAGGGAAGGGATGTGTATAGTTTCAGATAGAAACGAAAGCATCTTCAATACCACAAAAGTTGTGTACCCAGAAGTACCACATTGTATTGCATGTTTCACTTGTGGCAGAATGTAAAGCGCACATTCAAGAAACATCACAAACAATTGAAGGATATCTTCTTTGCTTTGGTTAGAGCTTACACGATAGAGAAGTTTGACTACCATATGACAGAGATGTGCAAAATTGATCTGAAGGTGCAGCCTTACTTATTCGAAATTGGCTACGAAAGGTGGTCTAGGGCATACTCCAAAGTGAAAAGGTCGATGGTAATGACTTCCAATATTGCAGAGTCAATTAATGCAGCAAACAAGGATGCTAGAGAGTTACCAGTAATGCGATTGCTGGAGCACATGACAAATTTGCTACAACAGTGGAACGACAAAAACAGAAAAAGTGCAATGGAGACATCTACAGAGCTTGGCGAAAAGTACGACAAACTCCTTCGGGAAAATCTGATTGCATCGGAGCAAATGACGGTAAAACGAATCAAATATAATGATGCTTGGCACTGCTGACTTGCATTTTACTGCTTGTATAAGGATGTATAACTCTGTATAATAATGTATAATGTGCTTTAACTTTTTTTTTTAAAAAAAACTTTTGCAGGTGAGGCCAGCTACGGAGCAATTATATACTGTGCTTGAAGGGGTAAGGCGAAACATAATGTGCCTTGAAGAGGGAACATGCAGTTGCGGCAATTTCAAATGGATGAACTTCCATGTCCGCATGCTTGGGCGGTTTTGAAGAACCAACAGCTGAAACCTGGCCAGTATTGCTCTTTTTACTACAAGAAGGATAAACTCCTTAGAACTTATGAATTTCCAGTGAATCCGATACCAGATGAGAGTTTATGGGTAATCCCAACAGAGGTGCTGGAAGATGTGGTCCTACCACCTAAAGGGAGACGGAAAGCAGGAAGGCCAAGAAAGGAAAGACTCAAACCTGCTTCAGAGAAAGAGTCTAAGAGGGCGTTTTCATGTTCTGTGTGTGGACAAAGTGGTCACAATAGAAAAACATGTAGGAATCGACCAAAATAAATAGTTGGAAACATAACACTTCCTATTACATATGTTGTCATGTTGAGTAGTTAAGTTTCACAAACAATAGAGTTACAAATGTTGAGTAGTTAAGTTTCACAAGAAATTGAGTTACAAATGTTAATAGAGAATTACAATTTACACTATATATTGCAATTATGTTAAATATGTTGCATTATACATATTTTGATTATCCAATATTAATGTGTTGTTGTTTTTAATGGTGCTAAATATATTGATAGATTGTACAAATGCAAAACAGAACTGCAAACAATCAATGTTATTATATGTATACAGAGTTATACATGAGAGTATAAGTTTGTATAAAATTGTATAATTATGTATATTATTGTATACATATGTATAAACCCTGCAACATTAATAAAACTGGAACCATAATGAAAATACATACTTTGTTAAAGGACAAAAGCAACTGAAATATTCATTAAAATGTAATTCATTCACAGCCACAATGTGTAATGACTACCACAAATTACACAAAAATAAAAATATCTATAATATCCTTTAAGGTTATCTCACAAGTAGCAGAATAGTACTTAGACAAAACTAGGCAACAACTCCTGATACATAGCAAACTACATTAAAATGGAAAAAGCATAACTACTTTCTCGGTCGTCCCCTCTTCCTCTTCCTGAAAAGTCTCCCTGTGATTTCATCACCACTAATTGCACCGGACTGTTGTTTTTTCCTTCCATAATCCCACAACAGAGATCCCCACCTGGTGCGAAGTGTCTCAATGTCAAAATTATCTTTTCAAATTTCCTTACCAAGGATGAAATACTCAGCAAAGCCAGCAATAAAAGCACCACAATCACTGTAATTAAAAATAAATCAGATTCTCTGTACGTTACTATAAATAGGTACACTAATAGTAAAACAATCGAGATTAACCTACCATTTGATCTGTTGGGACACATTATTAACCAGATTAATCTGCAAAGCATTAGAATGAGATTTATCGGTATGTGCACCATTGTTCCAATCAATGCCCTTCTTCTCGACATAAAAATCAGAACTCTTCAAGAAGTAAGGTATCAGAATTGCATAAGGTAATGCAGCATCCAAAGCAAGTCTATCATTAATAGCTCCACGGTTAGAGTCATAGATGTGGATGCACCTATCTATGAACGTAAATAACCCCAAAACCCAATGGCCCAATTTTGCTCTTCCGCGCTTCACATAGATAGGGAATAAGACGTGGTCAACAGTGTGCCACGGTACATTTGCATCACAATAATATCCTCTAATGTACTCTTCTATCTCATGCCCTTCAGGAATCACTGAAGGATCTTGATTCACTTTGAAATCTTTATACAGGGAGTTGATTTTGTTACCAAAGGCAAAGTCGATTGTAGTAAACCGCATGGCAACATTCGGCCCATATTTTTCCCTCTTCCTCAAATAATAAAAGAGGACATCCAAGTGCTGAGACAAGAAATAAAACAAAACAACCATCACTACTAGATTTTTTAAATATAGAAATTTATACACTATTATACGGAGTTATACATATTTATACAAGGTTATACAATCTTATACTGTGATTATACTAAGCTATGTATACATTATGGGGGTCTCAAACAATAAAGATACGCAACAAATAAAAAAAGGCATTAGAATAAAAAGTATTAAATACCGTTTCAATCAAAGGTCGACCACAATAGCAAGTGAGTGGAACCAATCCTTCGTGGTCACATGACACGAGCCAAAAGTAAAAGCTTCCGCAAGCTTATTTACTTCATCGGTATATATACTTTTGGCACTTCAAATCATAAAAAATAAAAAGTAATCAGAACTACCTTCATTGACAAGTATAAAATCAGAACATGAAAGATTAAAGAAAGTTAAGATACCTTCGCCTCGTATCCATCCCATTATCAACAAACGTGCAAAACTTTTTAGCCAATGGTCAAAATCATCAATTTCGATCGTGAAAGGATGCTTGATATAAAAAATGAGCTTGTGCGCAGATCTTGATGCCCGCTAATCAAAAACTGGCAAATATGGAGGTTTGGCATATTTTCATGGTATTTTCTGTCGAACTGATTGTTCAGGAGAACTGTAATCCTCTTTTACGTCTATGATGGATTGTTTGTGAAGCACAATTTGGGACATCTGTAGCGCAGCTATATCTTCATTGCCAATGTCATCCCAAAATGTATCACCCTTGATATCACCTGCTTCCCCTTAGACAGAGAAAACCAATGATAAAAACTTTAAAATGAAGAAAAGAAAAATCAGACAAAAAAAAGATAAAATGCAGAACAAATACCATGATCAACACCATCAGTAACTCCCTCGTCGGCTAGCACGTTATCTTGATTCACTTGATTGACAAAGTTAGGAACAACATCATATTGATAGCTATCAAATTTGCCAAGACCATATGTATTGTCATCAGACACGCGCTGACGAATCTAATAAAAAATAGTAGAAAGAGAAGGCATGTTGAGTGATGATTCAGAGAAGGCATAACTGTTGAGTGATTTGGTTTTATCAGTAAATAATTACCTTAGAATCAGTAAAATCCTCCCTAGTTTGCTTGGTTTCCTTCATATTCAGAAAACAAAACACTTTTTCAAAGGAAGAAACTACATAATTGTTGAGTGTCATCACTGTATCAGTCAACTACAACAACAACAAAAAAAAGCAAATCAACAACCATGTTTATAACCAAAAAACCATGTATATACAAAAAGTACTGATAAACTACAGAAAAGCTAAAGGTCCAGTACCTTTCCAACAACACTCCTCAACTTCTCAACTTCAGCATTCAACAGATCAATGCGCACCAAAAGATCATAACTCGGGATAGGCTGTCGATCCATATTCTGAGGAAAATGTCGTTTAGACTGTTGTTTCGTATTCTGAGGATAAGGTCGTTTAGACTGTTGCTCCATATTCTGAGGACAAGGTGGAGATGCAGTGACAGAATCATCAGTGTGAAAGGCAGGCACCTCCCCTGATGCAACATCATCTGCATTAACTTCAAGAAGCGTGTCGATGTTCAGAGTTGACATCTCTTCACGAGTAGGGGAAATGTTCCTATAGTTCAAGTACAAGAAGAAAAACTGGATTACAATAGTAGAAAAAGGGAATTGTGACATATTCATAAATATACATACAGAAAAACTGAAATCATATATAAAGAAGTATTATGGTACAAAATGTTTACCTTGTCGATACTACACATGATCACCCCGCCAGTCAAATCTGCATATGTTGGAGTTTCAGTCACTTTCCAATTAAGAATGTGTGGCACATTTGTGTCAACGCGAACAGCTAGATGCTTGTCAATCATAGAGCATCACTCAAAAACCATATTTGTAATGCAAGTGGCAAACCTCCAAGCCTATACATTGTCAAATAATCACACTATCTGCCCCTCATTGTCCTTAATATATCTTCAAATGACTTTTTTCCCCAAGCATACGTCTGATATTGACCACTTTCAATGATATCAAAATCATCTTTGTTGATACCATGATTATTGGCATCAGAGAATATGAAATGATGGACAAACACCATCAAGACCATCTTGAACGCATCTTCGTCCGACTTCCAGTCCTTTTTCTTGAAGCGATCAAGAAGCTGCCCCCTCGTTATAGCCTTTTTTCCATCTCCTGGAAAATACTCTTTTAGCAACCTATTGACATCTAGTTTGTCACGGAAAGTGGCATCATCTTCTACACACTTCAAATCAGTGATAACAACAAACTCTCCAATGCCAAAACGCAACAAACAAGTTAATTTTAACCCACAACTCCCTTTCCCGCCCTGGGAAGACTTCCCTCAATAGTATACAATGAATAAGTTGATTTGAATTTTAAATTGAGGCAGGTCCAAGAAGTACCCAAAACAACTAGCATGGAACATTTGAAGCTGCGTGTCAGTCAAACATTTCTTCAAAATGCTGACAATATTAGTCTCGGTATGGGAACTAATCTTGTTGTGGAAATGATCAACTGATTGTATATAGAAGTCCCCAACCTTGCATATGGAAAAATAACAAGAAAGAAATCAGGAACAAAAACTATACTAAAATATTGTATAAACATGTATAAATCAGAGTAGCAGTACTTGTATAAAGATGTATAAAGAACTGTATAACTTTGTATGAAATTGTATAAGCATGTATAAAATTAATAGTTTGTGACGAGTAGCAATCCTTTGTTCTTTGGATATGCAATAAAGACCACTCTCACCATCGTCCTTGATCTTGCTCTTTTTTATGCTTAACGACCTCGATCTTTCTCTTTTTTTTTAACACTAGGGCCTACATCATCTTCATTAACCAAATCAACTTTCAGCTTCTCTTTGGATTTTTCATGTCTCCCACATTTCTTACTCCTTATTCTAACAATGTTAACCGGAGTAGGAGTATTACTCATTTGCGAACGAGTCATTTGACTGCTCTCTTGTTGCGACTTTTTTGTAGGAGCAGGAGACTCAAAATCATCATCATCGGGGGCCTGGGCATGCGCATTCGCTTCAGAATCAGGGGTTGAGGGCAAGTCCCTCAATGATTTAATTGTAGTAGGAGTATTCTTCGTCTGCTAACGAGTCATTCGACTGCTCTCTTGTTGCGACTTGTTTGGAGGAGCAGGAGACTCAAAATCATCATCATCGGGGGCCTGGACATGCACATTTGCTTCAGAATCAGGACTCGAGGGCAAGTCCCTCAATGTTTTCGCAAAATCGAGCTTAACACCTTTTCCAGCAACTTTCATACGACTTTTAGAAGCATGTATTTTTGAACGCATTTTCTACAATAAAACAAACAAAGTTTTAACAAAAGTGAAGACAAGTGAAGGAAAACACAAAAATCAAACCAAAAACAAAGGCCATGAACACAAAGCAGAGGCTAATTTTTCCAAATTGTAACAAAACTCAAAAAATAAATTCTACCCTAAAACTCGAAATAACAAAGCATGCAAACTGAAACATCAAGTTTAGGCCCAGAACAAAGATAGAAGGAACACAAAATCGAACGCAAAACACAACAACATTGTAAAAAAATATTCAATATCAGAAAAGCAAAAAAATTAAAAATAAAACAAAATTTAAAACCAAAACTGTAGTAAAAGCATAAAATGAAACGATAATTACTTGAAAATAAGAGTGAAAGCTCGAAAAATTACTTGAGATCCAACAATGGAGGAAGGTTGCCTTCGTACTTCTCTGAGAAAAGCGTGAGCAGAAGAGAGAGAAAAAAAATTAAAAGCGAAAACCGTTATTAATATTTGTGGGCTACCGGGTGAAAATAAAATTTCAAAACACATACAACCTGGGCTAAACCAGGTTAGGACTTCAAATGTGGGCTATTTTCGGATGGGCTTTATGGCCCAAGTGATATATGATATAATTTTGTCAAAAATATACTGCAAAGACGTAACCAATTTATAAATAGTGCAACAAATATTTTCTGAGTGTGAAGAATACAAAATAATTTTCCAACAAGATTTTTGAGATCTAAAGTCTAAACATGTTAGGTACGAACCTTGGTCAACAAAACAAAATTCTAACTATATCTGTTAAGTAACGTTTATTGACAATTATTAAAATTATCATCAATGTTTGACTTCAAGAATCTATCATGAGACTTTAATCATTATTCCATTAATGGAACTTTCCACAAACTTTAATTCTTTGTTGTTTATATTCCATAGTTCCAACTACTTTTCCTTCATTTGCATTGGGCATCTCTTATAGAGGTAACTTTAATATCCACGTCCATACCTATGATTAGTCTTGGGTCTTGTACTTTATTGTCTGGCCTAATTAAGCTGAGAAAAATGTATTAGGAATAATTTTATAATTAGAAAGTGGAATTTTCCATATGATGAAGTAATGAAGGTACTAGGTTGGCTAAATTTTGAGCTACTAGACCTTACATGGGGTTTGTAGATCCAATCCTAACGTAAATAAATAAATTACTGGAAATTATCGCGATATGATTAAATCTGTTCATATTCAAATAGAATTCAGGTTTGAGTCATGAAAATGAAATTTTTTCACTACGATCGCTTTACTCTCTTTAGTATGCATATTGGATGTGAATTCTAAGTTAATTTCGGTTAGTGAATTTTGAATGTCAAGTAATTAAGAAAAGGATGGTGGACGAAAAATGCTACATTTGATATTTGGCTGTATCATTTGGCATTTAGGTCTAATTGAGGAATAACATAAAATCTTGTTTGTAACAAGAAAATTGTCTTAATTTTAAAAAGCGGTAAACTTTAAGAGCCCGTTTGGACATATAAAAAAATTTCACTTTTCTTTCCAAAATTTTTATACTTTTTTCCGAAATCATTGTTTGCCCATAAAATTTTTAATATTCAATTGAAGATGAATTTTGGAATTTTTCGAAAATTTGAAAAACTCCAAAAAGCTGTTTTTCAAAATTTTCACTCATATCACTCACAAAACTTAAAAAACAACTCAAAATTATATTCATGTCCAAACACAACTCTAATTTCAAAATTTTTTTCACTTTTTTTTTTGGAATTTTACATTTCTTATGTCCAAACGCCCACTTAGTCTTTAAGAGAATAGAGAATATCCAATTAATAACTAATCAGGGATGCAAGTGAAAACCAAAACCCTTGTGAGGGTACTAAGTGTATTTTCCAAGACTTCTGGGACGAATCTGAAATTAGACATTTAGACTGTTGTTTTTGTAGGTGGGTTAAATAATTTGCGAATAATAAAATAATCCAGAATAGTACAAAAATCAAATTGGGAAGATGGTTCTCATCTCGGTGGCTTTGAAAGTTGAAAGAAAAGGTTCACTTGAAAATGACGTGGGGGCTAGCGTATTTTGGAATGATCTAAACGTCACGTCTCTGATATGAGCATTTATATATTACTTTGTTCGTTTCATATTAAATAAGCTACTTTCCTTTTTAGTCTGTTCCAAAATAAATGACATATTTTTAAATTTTGAAATAATTCAACTTTAAGCTTTTAAGATCACAACTTTCAAAAGTGTTCTCTTTTTTTTCTTAAACTCCATGCCAAGTCAAACAATATAAAACCGAGTGAGTAATATATTTCTACTTTTAATTTCTATGATACTACTTTCACGTCCAAAGAAAATGATAAAAATAAATTTTTTAGTCAAATTATGTCACATAAATATAATGTACGTTATTAAATAATGATACAAAAAGTTGAGTTTTGCGCAGAAAATAAGTCTTGATTTAGAAAACTGTAGATAAAATAGTTTACTGAACCAGTGACTACTCAATTTCATTGAACAACTCCAACTTTGCAAAACTACTAGTGGGCAATAGAAAATTCATATTTTCTTGAGCTCTTTTACTAATTTTCTGGGTATTGCTCAATTTGATAAAGCAGTAGTTGGGTTTATTCAAGTTTTGACCTTTTTGTTGCTTTTTTATAAAGAGGATCTAAAAAAGTTTTTGTCTTGATATAAGTGAACAGCTGTTTTTATTTTTTGTCCTGTAATTTTCTTGAATTCAGTGGTCTAATTTTGTCTGATTTTTATTGAACGGTGGATTTTGATAATATGTATTACAAGTTCTTTTGATCTTTATATGACACTTTGTAGAAGCGATTAAGCGGTGGATTTTTGGAAGTTTTTGTACTAAGTCAACTGTTAGTTGTGGTGTTAATTCATCTAATTGAAGAGATTTTTGTGTATTTAATCTGTGGTTTTGTGAGATTCTGGTTATATGAGCTGAGGTTGGTGACTGTTGATTATGATGATGGTGATTCATGGCTAGTAAGATTGGTACAGCAGGCAATAGAAGTGGTACTGCTGGAATGCCAAGTTTCATTTCTCAGATACCTGTTTCTAATCCCATGTAAGTATATATCTCTTAACAGTTTTTTTTTTTTTTTTTTTTTGGTTTATTTATAGTTTAGTTAGTTCTATGCAAATCATTGAAGGTTAGTTCATTTTCTTTGAGACAGAGATTATTGTTTGTTCTTGTTTTTATGTGGAATAATTCAAGTTTTTGCGAATTGATTTTATGGGAATTAGACTATGTATATCATGAGCTTAAGTTGGATTAGGATATAAGACCTGTGTCTTTCAATTTGGCCCTGGAAATCAAATATACCTTAATGGCAGAGCTAAAGGTAAGGAATGGGGTTCAATTGGAGCCAGGAATTCTAGCAAGGAGATTCAGAAAAAATGGGAAAATGCTATACCTTAAATCTTCCCTCATGTTAAGGGGATTCAACAGTTTATGTATAAAACGGCGGTCCGGGGAAGGGCCGGATCATAAGGGTCTATTGCATGCAGCCTTACCCTGCATTTCTGCAAGAGGTTGTTTCCACGGCTCGAACCCGTGACCTCCTGGTCACATTAACAGTTTATGTTTGTTTGAAAAAACATATTTTTTCCCTGCTTGCACAGTATAATTTCCGAATGAAGGGAATTCAATTGAACCCCCTTCCTTACCTTTAGCTCTGCCACTGCCTACAGTTATTCTAGTTTGAAAGGCGACTACCTGAGTTTTAGGATGGTCTCACTCTATTTATTCAGCAGGGTCCATTTCATGGTTTAGGTAAATCAGCTATTCCTACTTAAACTCTACTGGTCCCTAGAAATAACGGAAATGAATGAAAAGAGGTAAGAGTATTCAACCATTTCATGATCCTGTTCTCAGAGTTCCTGGGGGTAATTACTGTGTTAGTGTGAATCTAGAATAGTTGTATGTCATTGGTAATATGTTGTATATGATGAAGGTGATATCTCGAATAATTTGTTCCTGTTTAATAATATGTTGGGGCTGTAATTTTTTGGATTTCAGGGGCACAGAAGCGAACAATATAAATACTTCTAGAATGTCTGATTTTGGGGTGCTCGAGCAATATCTTGGATTCCGTATTGGAGATGGCGCTAATGTTAATCGAAGTATGTATATTTAAGACTAACCAAGTTTAAACTCTTTTATGCTGAATGTTCTTGGTCTGCCTATCTTTCTTATCTGTCATCCGTCAAAAGAATCTTGGTATGTTCGAGCGTTCTTTAAATTACAGCCTTACAATATGCACCAAGTATGTTTTCTCTTTAATGTTTCTAAGAGCAATTGGGATCTCTCATTGTAAACAATCATTACGATGATCTTATAAGCAAGTTCTCTTTTCCATGCAAATTATCTATGGGTAGTTGAGACCTCCGAAAAGCCTAGATGAGCTGAAGAGATTGATCATGGTATAGGAATTCTCTTTGCTTTTCTACCCTTGTTAGGTCTAAACCTAGAGAAAAGTGGGACTTTGAACTTAAGTCAATTCCAAAAGTTAGCTCATGATGTTAGGCTTGTTCTAGATCATATAGAGATACGTGGATGATATAACATGAATCTCCAACATTGGGTAATTCACATTAGGAAGAAAAATGGACCTTGGGCATAATTCTACCCCAATAAACTAGTTCATGAGGTGAGAGTCGCCGAAAAGCATGTAAAGAAAGTACAATTCATACCCTCGACCGATGTGGTACTCTAACAATATGATTCCTCTTCATAGATAATCTACGAAAAAGTAATAATCCTATTTAGATATCTATAGGTTTCGAAAAATATGTTCAATCACATAGTATATGAAGTAAATAGTGTTTTTTGATATTGAGATGACTAATTTGAGTTAGGAAGACTAAAGTTCATCTAGTCCAAACTATTTAAATACATCTTGTTCTGGATCTTCCTGTTTGGACAATGCTAAATAAGAGGATGATTTCAACTGTAATAGAAATGCTTGATTTACTGAAAAGCACCTGTGTTTCTTTATTGTTTCTTCATACCTGAACCTCAATTGTCCAGGAACTTGTCTTATGTGAAGACTGACCATTTCCTGTATAGTACTCATCATTGATAAATTTGTCTCTTTGTTGATTTAGGTCCGCTATTTAATTCAACATCTGCAACTAATCCAGCAGTGGGTTTTGAAGTCTCTGGAACCATCAATAGGGTAATTATGGCATTATTCTCTCCCCATGTCTTCCTAAAGAGAAGTAGAAACTGTTAATCTGATATTGGCAGAGATGTCCAAAGGCCTGGTGAGGCATTTAGCCAATTTTGATATCTCCTTTTTTTCCTTCCGTTGAGCTTGCAGAATTTAGCTCCTTCAAATACAAGTTTGCCTACTGCTACTCCGAGATCTCAGACAATGCTATTGCAATCAAACCTGGTTTCAGCATCAGGCACTCATCATGAGAATTGGGGAGAGTCAAACATGGCAGATTCTGGTTCACGCACTGATACTTCAACTGACATGGATGGAGATGATAAAAATCAGCTGGTAATTTACTCTGCTTGTCTTGGTTTCATCTCTTAGCCTCTCTTAGACCATTTCTCGTTGGTCGGTAAAGACCTGCAATCTCTTTGAATCAATGCGGTTTTGGCTAAGAATGAAACTTAATAGAAGCAAAAGGGGACATTTAAGCGAACCAACAAGTACGGATTGAGGTTTAATTGTTATTACACTTACATAAGGTGCGGTGTTTCTCGAGATGTTCTATCTGAGCACTTGTATGTTCATGTAAGGATAAGTGTGAAATTTGTAGAATCTCTAGTGCTAGAGAACGCTAATTTGCCTTAAGTGACAAGTTATTTACTACTCCCTCTGTCCCATCTTATATAACTTTATCGTTTGGGATGTCTCAAAATGCTTAACATATTCCATCACTATGCAACTTCCACAACTCCCAAGAATTCAAATTCATTGAAGTATTCAACTTTTAAACTTCAATCTTATGTTTTCTTTATTAAATTAACTTTTGCATCATTACTTTAATGTTTCTCAGTACTGTCAATATAGTATATAACTCACCATAAAATATGGCGATACAAAATGGGATGGAGGGCGTATTATTAAATTATTAATCTAAAATAAAAGACATTTATTTTGTATTGTAAAGAATTGAGAAAGTGGGAATAGTACAGAGGGTTCATGTTGACCAATCCCAAACTAGTTGGTATTGATCAGTAATTGGCACTTCAATTTCATACTCGAGTCTTTGGTTTGCAAATATGTAATCGCTTTAACTGAAGAGTTTGTACATGTAACAGAAAATTTCTCCTCAAGTAACAGGAGAATTATTTATTGTGGTGGACCTTTTAGTTTCAATAATTGCTATTTGTTTCATCTGTCTTGAAAAGTTAGCGGAAATGTCTTAACTTGAACGAGTGATGTTTGTCATTACTGATATGTATTTTTACGTTTCAGTCATATATGAAAATTCTTTTCTGTTATGCAGATTGAGGCAGGTCAATCCAGTGATAAATCAAAAGAAAAAGTCTTGGATCAAAAGGTCCCCTTTTTTTCCCGCACTATTTAGTTCTTAGAAGAGGAGAACTCATGTTCCATTCTGATATTCTTTTTGCTTATTTATCACTGCTTTCAGACACTGCGGCGACTTGCCCAGAACCGTGAAGCTGCTAGAAAAAGTAGATTGAGGAAAAAAGTAAACCTTTCTTCTCTCATTCTCCTCCTTTTGTTTTCCTTTCCCCCCGTTGATATGTAATATAAGCCTGTACCTCGCGCACTAGTTTGTCATTTTAGTAAACGAGGGATGCTGAAGAGATTATGTCAGCTGATTGTTTCTCACTTGTCTTTAAATGACTAATTCAGTGCTTATGCTGTAGGCATATGTTCAACAGTTGGAGAACAGCCGGCTGAAGCTATCGCAGTTGGAGCAGGACCTTCAGAGAGCACGTCAACAGGTATTGGCTTCTGTCCTTTCACGTGCTTTCGTAGAACAACCTGAGGAGGTTTCACAATCTTTTCTTATATTGGGTTCTTGTCCAACTGAAGGGGAAGTACATTTCAAACATAGCAGATCAATCAAATGGAGTGGGTGCCAATGGTATGCCTATTGCTCATCATTTAACTTGTGTGCCTTAGCTTCCTTTTTTTATTTCAACAAACAAGAAAATTGCTGGGCTTCTTCTAGATTTGCTGAGGATGTATCATTTCTTGATACTTAATTGAGCTAGGAGTGGATTGTTATTTCATGTTACTGTAACAGCCAAAGTTTGCCAATACTCTGCGTTGTATCGGCTATAATATTGTTAAAATCATCTACTGTGCCTCTCATATGTGAAGTTGACACTTGACAGGGGTTGAGTAGTTCTAGGAAATCTGAGTAGAATCAGAATAATCGGTTTCACTAAGACAGAAAAGCGTCCACTATGCCCTTTTCAGTTCCTTTCCAGGAAGAGTTCGTCTCTCATGCATTGTGTGTTGCGTGGTGTGTGTTTAGGTAGCAAATAAGACTGAAATAATATCTTTTTTCTACTTGAAGAAGATTGGAGAACTTCAGTTTTCTTGATTTTCCCTGATTAACTGGACTTAGTTAATGAGAAAATTTGTGACATCCATCTTCATGTTTGTTCGCTGTAGCTGATCATTAAATTTGAATACGAGGAACAAGGTAAACTGCATCATCCAATAGGTCCTCGTGTCATTGCTTTGACCCTATATCAAAAGTTGTGAAGCTGTGGGTGAATGGACTTGGTCGATGTTGATATTTCTCACGCTTATGATGGTTGCCATGATACAGATAATGAATGAATCAGTTGGGGCTTTATGCCGTCAGTTTAATGCATGACTCTTTTGTATTAGGCTGGCTTATTTTAATAAGATATGTTCAACCCATTATCTAGTTTCTGATTGCACTTCCCGAAAAGTTAATTTCCTCATGCTAAGATAACATTTCAGATTATGCTGTTCTGCAGGGCCCTTAGCATTTGATGCAGAATATAGTCGATGGTTAGAAGAACACAACAAACACATCAATGAGCTAAGGACCGCTGTCAATGCACATGCAAGTGATCCTGAACTGCGAAGTATTGTGAATAATGTCACTGCACACTTTGACGAGGTCTTTAGGGTGAAAGGAAATGCAGCCAAAGCGGACGTATTCCATGTCTTATCAGGGATGTGGAAAACCCCTGCTGAACGCTGTTTTATGTGGATTGGTGGCTTCCGCCCGTCTGAACTTCTTAAGGTGACCTCTTTCTTGCTCTCATATGTGTGCAATTCTGCATCTGTTCTTCTGCATTTCCCATCTAGACTTTCCCTGTGTAGGATTATAAATAGCTGTTATACTCTTTTATTAAGTATGAAAAGTTCCTGTTGTTAGCAGGTCTAATAAGTTTCTAGTGATGTGTTGCACTTCATTGATTTATGCTTGTGAACGTCTAGAATATTTGCTAAACATTGGATGGTTTCACTTTTCGAATGAATGAGGTGCCGTGCAGTGTACAATTGCAATTTTATGTCACTATCATTTATAACTCCATCATTGCAGTCTCGTGTCCTTGGATAGGTAAGGTCTGAGATTCTCCTTCAAATGGCATGGATGTGCAATTATTGTTTTGAAGCTCTCGGTTTTCTTCTTGTGTCCACTGCATACTACTATCCCTAAACAACCTGATTCCTAGAAGCAAAAGCTTGGATCAAAATCCGTGGTTATCTGTATCCTTATTGGCGTCCCGAATGAGGTTTCCTGGCCTTCTTCAGCTTGGTGATGTTAGTAGACCTCCAATTGCATCTGTTGTTAATGTGCTTTCACTTTGTCAATTTACGGCATTTTTGTGCTGGAATTATATGAGTGCTGTAGACTGTATTTGGTTTTATTCTTGTCATTTTTTTCATGTGTCATCCATTGTGATAAATTAAAAACCTCAAGTTGCTAAGCTAGATAACGTTCTTCGGAAAAATTGGAAGTTTAATATGCTATTTCTAAGCCGTATGGAAGTTTCTTTATAAGCAATTATGCATTATTTTATTTTACTATTTTTCACATGTTTCCTGAAATGATTTGTTTGGTAATGCAGCTTCTAGTGAATCAGTTAGAGCCGCTGACCGAGCAGCAGTTAGCTGGCATATACAACTTGCAGCACTCATCCCATCAAGCAGAAGATGCTCTTTCACAAGGTATGGAGGCGTTGCAGCAATCCTTGGCTGAGACATTAGCCAATGGATCTCCTGCTCCAGAAGGGTCATCAGGGGATGTAGCTAATTACATGGGTCAAATGGCAATGGCAATGGGCAAATTAGGGACTCTTGAAGGTTTTCTTCGTCAGGTAACTTTATTTTTGCTGCTGCTGTTGTTGCCTATTCTTTGTTTAAGTTGTTTAAATGATGGAAATGCTGTAAACACGTTCAGCCATTTAAGCAGTGGAAATCAGGGGGGTGGGATTAGGGGCAAGCGAATGTCACTCTGGAGGTCTGGTTTCGTTACTACAAATCACGTTATCCACTTTTATGTCCTTTGACAATGTTATAGGTTAAGTAATACTTTATGTTTGCGAGCGTTCTAAAGTGAACAATCGGCATTCTGTACTTTTGTCTCATGCGGACTACTATTGGCAAGGTTAGAGAAGGTTTTGACATGAAACATATGATTCAAGAAAGTTGCCATGTTTATGACCCTGTAGCAATGAGATGTAATAACTCCATGTTCAGTGGTAGCTGGTTTGTTATGTTAGTTTTATTGGTAAACTATGTGAAGCTAAAAGTCTTTGTATCTTTCTGGCAACTTTTAACAGGCGGACAACCTGCGACAACAAACATTGCAACAAATGCATCGTGTATTGACAACCAGACAATCGGCCCGTGCTCTTCTTGCAATAAATGAATATTTCTCACGTCTTCGAGCTCTCAGCTCTCTCTGGCTTGCCAGACCACGAGAGCAGTAAGTATGACATGCATTGCAGTATTCTGCTCAAAAACGGGCGAACTATTGCCAAGACACCACATAGTTGTGGTGTACACTACTACTTTACTTTTATACTGAATGGTCCAGTTCTACTTGACCGTCCATGCCGGAACTGGCCAGTGTATGTGCTTGTGGAAGTGTAAAATTTGTTTTTTTTTGTTTTTGTTTTCTAGGTGTTAGGATGCTAAAATTTTACTTTGTGATATAGGAACCAATAATGTACCCCTGAATGTGTTTTTAGCTTTTCAAAGAAAAAGTTTAGTTAGGGATTTTAAGCTGCAGAATTGTAATGAGAGAAAGTTTATGCTTAAATAGATTATACCTTGTTACCTGGAAAGTTTCTCTTCTGAGATGTGGGAAATTTCTGCAGCTGATCATTTTCCGTTTATTATTCCTGCACGAAATGCGGATGAATGAAGGCACCAAATCTAACGTACTGCATGTGTAAGTTTTTATTACACCTAGGGTGTGTTTGGTATGAAGGAAAATATTTTCGGGTCCAATTATTCCATGTTTGGTTGGATTAAATGTGTTAGAAAATATTTTTCTTATGAACTTATTTTCCTCTAATTATAAAGTTTACGGGTTCGAAAGTTTAGCGGTTCGGAAGTTTATGAAATTTGCGGGTTCGGAAGGTTGTTGGTTCGAAAGTTTATGGCTATTGCTCTTAAGAAGTTATTTTCCTTAATTTGCGTATCAAACATTGAAAATAAATAAGATTACTACTTGTTTTTCAAGAAAATATTTTCTTCGAAAACGAAAAATGTTTTTCGTTACACCAAACACACCCCTAAAGTTCTAAGATTTTTCATTAACTTTAATGACTTCTTATTCGACTCCATTTGATGTGCAGGATTTGGTAGACAACCGAACGCTATTTCACATTCGATATCACTTTTTATTTTTATGTCGAAGAAATGAAGAAATGCAATGAAAAAAATTTCATATGACTAAAACCAAAAGCACAAACTTCGGAGAAATAGGTGAACAAGCTGTTACTGTTACCTTTCTTTTCCTTTTACTCTAGGCTTCGATTTTGTACTCTATTCTGAATTTAATTGTCACATTTTGCTTTTTAAGGTCAAGTTGGACCATTTTGTACCTGTCTCTTATTTTATTAATAAAAGCTAAAAGGTGTAAAATACTCTTTAAAATATTCATTAGAGAGACAACCCAGTTTTTCATATTACGAATAACGAGTTCCTTAAATTTACTAAGACTCTTTATATTTATTGAGTACGTAGGTTAAGTAAAATTGAAATGAAATCTAAATTTAACTCATGATAAAACTTGGAGATTTTGGATCAGTCTCTTGTTTTCTTTTTTTTTTTTTTTTCGGTCAGACTCTCGTTTTTTTGTTGATAAAACTAAAAGGTGTCAAAGTACTCATTTAGAAATTTTTCAGAAAGATACGCACTTTTTTTAATAAGAAATGAGTTTCTGAAATTTACTAACACTTACAATTAGCAAAAAGAAATTTATGCTTGTTCAATAGATCGGATTGGGTGAATATCTAAACAAAGTGAAAAATAGAAAAAATAAAAAAATAGAAAAAAGTAAATAATTGATGTAACAATTTCAGTCCCACAGTGGCAGCTTGAAGGAAAAGGGAAGCGAACGGCTTAGTATAAGAAATGGGCTGAGAACGCAGAGGAACATACTTACTTGGACGGGGTCAATGAATCAATAAGGCCCATGGCCTAGGCTGGTGACCTCCATTGCACTATGGGAGAGGTGCCCGCCTAAGATCGGTCAAAGTGGTCAAGCCTACGTCATAATTTGTGATAGCGGGGGCCTGCGTTCCCGTGGCCCTTACCTAATTCCAAGTCCTAATTTTTTAGGCCCAATAAGTAATACGTGCGACTGCCTGAGAAGTAGGCCCATTTGCATTTCCTTTTCAATGTGTTTTTATGGGGGAAGTGCACGGTTGGCCACTAATAACACATGTATTTACTTTTAAGCCACCGTTTAAAATATCTTTAGTCTTTAGCCACTGCTTTAATAAACTTTAACTGCCCGGACGAAAATACCTTTCTGCTCATGTCCTTAACTTTTGTACTTAACTTCAGGACTTCAGGACTACATTTCCTTAACTTTTGAACTTGTAACTCCAAGTTCAGGACTTCAGGACTACATGTCCTTAACTTTTGAACTTGGAACTCTAAGTTCAGGACTTCAAGGCTACATGTCCTTAACTTTTGAATTTGGAACTCAAACTTCAGGACCAAGCGTCCTTAACTTTTGAACTTGTAAGTCAAAGTTAAGGACCTATTGTCCTTAACTTTTGAACTTGTAACTATAAGTTAAGGACTGCTTGTCCTTAACTTTTGAACGTGTAACTGTAAGTTAAAGACTGTCTGTCCTTAAATTTTGAACTTGGAAATCAAAGTTAAGGACATATTGTCCTTAACTTTTGAACTTGTAACTGTAAGTTAAGGACTGCCCGTCCTTAACTTTAGAACTTGTAACTGTAAGTTAAGGACTGCCTGTCCTTAACTTTTGAACTTTGTGTCCTTAACTATTGAACTTAACTTTAAGACTTCAAGACTACATTTCCTTAACTTTTGAACATGAAACTCTAAGTTCAAAACCATGTCCTTAACTTTTGAATTTAACTTTAGGACTTCAGGACTACATGTCCTTAACACAATTATCTTTGAAAAGAGTTGATTGTAACGATGCTAAAGCAAGGCGAGATGACGACTATTTCGAATTACAGGTACCTTATTTTCTTTCTTTTCTTCTGGTTTTGCATTTGTTCGGATTTGATGATGCCAAAACTCTCTGCAGATTAAGATATGCAATGGGAAGACATTACAAGTAGTTGCAGTAGCAAAAGGTTTCTTCTACACATTGGGGAAGCCACTTATGTGAAGCCATTGCTTGGTTGATCTTCTGCAACAGATCAGCTAAGCGTTTGCTAATGCAAGAAAACGAAATTGAAACTAGGATATCACCCGGAAAGAAAACGAAAAACGAGTGGGTATCGAACTTGAGAGAGAAGCGAGGGTTTGGGAAGAAAAGCAATGGAAGAAAGGGTAAAAATGTCTTTTCATATTAATTTTAATAGAGTAGTGGCTATTTTTGCTCAACATTAGAATTGCTGGATAAAAAATAAATACAACCTTAAATAGTGGCTACCCCACGCCATTTCTACTATTTTTATGTGTTAAATCTAGTACTCTCTTTTAGCCCAGAGAAATTAAAAAATAGCTCGATTTACAAGTGGTCATTCAAAAATAGTCACAGTTTCAAAAATAATTGAAATTCAGCCACTTTTCATGTAAAGATAAATCTGAACGAAAATATTATCAACATCCAGAAAAATACTCCAGTATATTATAATGGAGTTCCAGCAATATGCTGGAAGTTCATACACAGGTGCTCCAATCTCCAGTATATTATGCTGGAACTTTCCGCGTGTTGGAGTTCCAGCATAATATGCTGGAAGTTCATACACAGGTGCATCGATCTCCAGTATATTATGCTGGACCGGTCGCAGCAAAATAGTGGTTATTTTTCAATGATTTTACAAACGCTGGCAATTTTTGAATGACCAGTCCGAAAACTGGCTAGCCCGTGCTATTTGCCCCTTTTAGCCGGAATGGGATAATGGGTCGGCTGAGGGTTGGTCCAGGCCAACGAAAAGAACCTCTTTTATGCTTGTATTTTTTTTGTTTAAATAATTTTATAACAGTACCTCGCATAAATTTTAGGGATTTTACATATCTATACACTATTGGAAACCTTATTACCCTCCCTACTCAAATTTCAATTTAATTACCTCCTATATACAAATTCACCAATTGCCTTGGCGTAACTGGTAAAGTTGCTGCCATGTGACCTGGAGGTCACCGGTTCGAGCCGTGGAAACAGCCTCTTGCAGAAATGCAGGATAAGGTTGCGTACTATAGACCCTTGTGGTCCGGCCTTCCCCTGACCCCGCGCATAGCGGGAGCTTGGTGCACCGGGCTGCCCATACAAATTCACCAATTATATACACTTTAGGAATTAAATGAGTATCCCTTTATATTAGGAATCAATTATTTCTCATCCTTATTCTCTCTCCCTCATGCTCTCTCTCTCCCTACGCTCTTTATCTCTCTACGTCTCTCTCTCTATCTCTCAATCCCTAATTCCATTAATGTAGAGCAAAGGAAAAGAGAGCATCAATTCCACCATTGACATCCATTAAAAAGTTTTAAAGCTTTGAATCCGAATTTGGGTTTTCAAAAAATATTATTTGTTTGAATTGAGTGTTGTTGCAAACAATTGGGAGTTCTCTCTACGTCTCTCTCTATCTCTCAATCCCTAATTCCAGTAATGTAAAGCAAAGAAAAGAGAGCAGCAATTCCACCATTGACAGCCATTAAAAAGTTTTGAAGCTTTGAATTCGAATTTGGGTTTTCAAAAATCATTATTTGTTTGGATTGGGTGTTGTTGCAAACAATTGGGAATATGGTTTGGAGTTTATATCTCAATTTTGAGAGTGTTTTGGTGAAGATTAGACTTGATTTTGGCTGAATTTGAGATTGAAACTCGAAGAAGAAGACATGACATACATTATACTGCAGAAATTGTAGTTGTAGTAAAATTGTAGAAAAAATGTATTCTGTTTTTTTATATATATATATATATATATTTAAATATTGAATGAAAATTGAACAATATTGTATAAAAATTGTATTTAAGTTGTATGATATTGTAGTTGTATAACTGGCTAAAAATAATGTATGAAAATTGTAGATAAGTTGTATAATATATAATCAATTGTATGAAATTTATTTTTACTATGTATAAATCAGATACAAAATATACAATAGACATATTGTATAAAGTTTGTATTTAAGTTGTATGTTTTTGTAGTTGTTTTTAACTGGGTAGAAATAATGTGTAAAAGTTGTAGATAAATTGTATAATATATAATTAGCTGTATGAAATTTCTTTTTACTATGTATAAATTAGATACAAAATATAAAAAAGACATATTGTATAAAAATTGTAGTTAAGTGGTATGATATTGTAGTTGTATATAACTGGGTAGAAATAATGTATGAAGTTGTAGATAAGTTGTATAATGTTATAAAATCTTTAGTAAATGTGGATGTCCACTACTCCCACTACTTTCACCCATGATGTAAATAACCTCCCACTACTCATCATCATTATGATTGTAACTCCCACACCTCCATAACCCCTCCCCATGATCTTCCCCCATGATCTCAATTGTTAATGTCATGTTTAAGACAGTCATCTTTTAACCTTCATATGTAATAGTATAAATAGAGGCATGAAATCTGAGATGGAACACACTTGAACACTTGATGAAATAAGAAAGTTATCTCTTCTTCTCTTA